TTTTTTTTTTTTAATATAAGGGTCACACTTATAGAAAATATTTTCAAAGATGAATGTCCTCGATGAAATAGGTGATCTTACCCAACATAATATAAATATGTAAAATCTCTACAGTGGAAAAAATCACCATCTCACAGTAGAAAGGTAAATATAAATTAATTTATACTGTTATAAGCTTTAGTTCAAAATATTTACTATTAAAATGTACTAGCAAATTCATCAAATAAAACAGATCCTATATATTACTGATTGTACTAGATGCATTTCCAGTTATATGTTAAATTGTGATATTAAATCACTTTGAGATACTAAAAGTATTAATAACACACTTTTTAAAAGTAAAATGAATTACAACAGAAGAAAGCTTCATTTTCAGTTAGGAAATCACTCAGCTCTGTACTCATCACTAAGATATAATAAGGACTTCAGCACTCTATTCCATGAAGAGGCTGACAAAATGCTACGTAACAAATAACATTTATTAATTAATTTTTGCCTTGGTGTTATTTTAATGAGATTTAAAGTAAAGCAATCCAGTTAAAAAATTTACAACGTTTGGAGCAACACACCCAAACTTAACCCCCTAAATTACTTTTCTCTAAAATAAAAGTTCTTAAAATTAAAGATGTGTAAGTCAATGAAAGAGGGTTCTATTTAACATTGCTTTAAAATTATAGGGCTTATTTTGCTAAATGATATTAAACGAACATAACTAACATAGAGCTATTGATATGAATGATACAAAACTGATTTAGTTTATTGTCACATATTCTCTTCACCTTCTAGATTTTCCCAGGGAATGAAGTCTTGGGTTGTAAGCAGCAATAGTAGAACACTGTTATTTTCTTTGATTAATAATTACCTAAGTATTGATAAGAAGGAATGATAAATATATAACTTCTGTGAGTTTTCTGAATAAATATTTGCTCTTTTTACTTTTTTCACTATTGAATATAACATAGAAGTTTTACATGCTCCATGGTATAAACTAACATGTTATAAATAATGTAAGTTTCAAACAGGTCAATTTGTACAATTAGAAATTTATTTAGCATTGGAATCAAATACAAGCAATACAAGTGAAATTATTTTAATTTAATCCTATGTTTTCTTCGAAATGATACAGAAGGACTGGACAATCTTGTTCACATGCATTAACTGTATTTCCCCTTTACAGAGTTCACATGTATTAACTGTATTTCCCCTTTACAGAGTCTTTTCCCTTGAAATGGTCTCTCTTGCTCTTAGTATTACAGTATCCAAGAATAAACACCATG